GGGCCTCCCTGGTGGCGCAGCGGTTGAGCGCTGGGTTGCGAGGCTGCCCGCAGCCTCTGCAGCGCTGGTTCAATCCCCAGCCGCTGGGCGAGGGTCCCACATGGCGCACAGACCTCTCCTGCTGCCCACTGCTCCCCTCAGCAGTGTACTTCGGTCCTTCTGCCTGCTCTGCTCCCGGCTCTGGCTCTGGTGAGTTCTCTCACTCTCCCGCGCTTCTGACTGTACCCAGTGCTTGTATAAATAAATAAATAAAACTTTTAAAAAAAAACCAGACTAACAAAAAAAAAAAAAAAAAACCACACACTGAGCATTTTTGTATCCAAGAGGGATTGGACAATGCACAGTTTGGCTAATTACATTTGCATTTTTTTTTCTTTCCTCTAACATGAACATAGAGATTTGAGGTGCAGGTCAGGTTAGTTACAGATAAGAAAAAGAAATTCAGTTTTCTTTGTAGATGCACAGCTTAATTTTGTCAATAAAATCATGTGAACCAGCTAAAAGAGTAATTTGATTCATGAGGAATAGTGAAGTTAAAACAAACTCATTAAATTATAAGTTATTAAAAAAGTTATTATAATAAAGTAAAAATCAAAATCAACAAGCAACTATAAATCAGAGATATTTTGCAGGAGGGGGAGAAGGGAGTAGGATTAAAATGGATGGGAAGAGCACAAGGGACTATGGTGATGGTACACAGGTGAATTGGTGGTGGGAATTTCACGGGGACTATAACTGAGATGAGAAAGCATATATTGTACAAAAAATGAAGAAAAATGTAAAAATATATAAAAATAATATTATTAAAAATAATAAGCAATGCAGAACAGTTGGAAGAAGGCACACGATCATCTGCATAAGTAGAAGATAATGAAGTAAAATTTCCAAAATTCAAATCAAAATGGTAGAGAATAAACCAATAGATAAAGAAAAAAACAATGACATTGAATATCCAATCTTCAAATTAGAGAAAATAAAGGAGAAAGGAGCAGGATATAAGACATGGAAAAATAATTACAAAAGAAAATTTTCCTCATTTAAGGAAGATCACATTTTCAAAACTAAGTTTCCAGACAAACTAATGAGAAGTGTTATAGGAAACACATCCTCCTGGTATTTTTAAATGTTAATGACAAGATAGATAAAAGTTTAACAGGGAAAAACACCCAAAGATATAAGAATTAGATTAGTTCCTAAACTGTCAAGATCATTAAACACTAGAATATATTAGACAACAAACATACAGACAACTTAAAAGGGAAAACACTTCAACTTAAAAATGCTATTTCCACAAATAGATTGTTATACCCATAGTAGAAAGCCTTGCATTTATTTTGAAATACACAAGACCCAGAAAATAAATGAAAAGTCATCTTTTCCAAATAACTCATATGAAAGTCAAGGAAGATAATAATCAAGAATTTAAAAGTAATTAGAAAATATGTATCATAATACCTTGATCAAGTGAAAATTTTAACAATTAATGTTTCTGTGATTGTCAATCTAATATACTATTTATTAAGTACTTACTAATAATTGTCAGACATTCTGTTAAGTTCTCTAGTTTTAACAAGCTAGCTAATCTGTACATATGTGTGGGATATATCTAGCCCTAATTCTATCCCAATATTCTCACTGATGATTTACTGATTAAATAAATTCTCTGTTAACACAATTATTGCCCCTTGATTATTGAGTATATTTGTGTTTATTTTGATGAAAAAGTTTATTTATATAAATACATTAATTTTTAGAAAAAATGAATACAATACAGTTTATAACCCCAAATTAACAATGGTAAGAAGGAATTAGGTAAAATACATTAATTTTTAGAAAAAATGAATACAATACAGTTTATAACCCCAAATTAACAATGGTAAGAAGGAATTAGGTAAATATTCATTGCTTTACAAAATAAAGTATAAAATTTTCTTTGCTTATATAAGATATAATATTTGATATTTGACAGGTAAAAGTGTTACCCAATTCTGAATATAGATGCAGCTATAAGCAAGCAGTCAAATTAAATTTGTTCTTGACAGATGCTTAGAATGTAAGAACGTAAGTATGTGGAAAGGAAAACCAATTTAAAAATTTTAGATGTTATTTTGTTGTGACGTATGAAACATTTCTTCTACTATAGCCTTGAATGTCTTATCACTGCAAAGAAGCATATAGAAGAGCCTTTTTGCCTGCTTCTTATAAGTGGACATTCCCTTTAGTAACTTGTGAATTAATTTCTTAGCAACAACTTTTGTAATAAAAAGTACAAAACAAAACCTACTTTTATAAAACATATGCATACCGTATGGTATTTTGATTACTTTGATTCAGGAACATTTCTGTTTCATCTCTCTACTCTTGAAAAATGGCCAATCCTACCAAAAACTTACCGTATAGCTAGCATTTAATACAATGTAAAGTATTTAATACAAAGTAATACATATAGGCAATAATGTGCATTAATAAATTTATATGCCATTTAATGTAATTAGAGGGAAAATCTTATGTTGTATGGTTATTTATAGAATATACATGAAAAGGGCAAGTTTATAATGAGTAGGCAAAATTTATAGGTGCAAGATTTTATCTGTCATATATCTAAACCTGGGACAGTGTGGGTATAGAGTAAAATAAAATTTGCCTTATAAACAAAATAATTCAAAGCAAAGGTAATTCAGACTAGGCAGACTTAAGGGAAGATTTATCATAGGAAAAAGGAGACACAGAATCAAGTGGTATCTTCGATTAATATACAAGTGTAACTTCACAGTGAAAACATTCTGAAGGTCAAATATATGGTATTGAATATCTTTATCACAACTTATAACTCACATGAGATGAAGGTGATTTTTATTTGTGTTGAAAATCAAGTTATCTCAATGATTAAACAGAAACCAAGGTTCATAAAGAAATAAAATATGAACACCTGAATGATGGAAGGCTGTTTATAATGAAGCACTACAAAAATGAGATAGATGCAATTAGCCAAAACAGTCTGCTTTGTTAACAAACATTCTGCATTGTTAACCTCCTTTTGGGTTTGAACATAACAAGTAGAGAATATGAAATATTCTAGAAATCTCTATAAGCCTATCTTACAAGCACCGAATGAAATAACTGAATACCAAATGTTACAAACACATTTCCTTTTCATTTATCTGCTACTAAACATAGTAAAGATTTTCTGAACTCCATCAGTTTCAAAAATTCTTCTGCTATACGCCTATTTATACATATTCATCACTCTGACAGCAGGATCAAGATTTAAAAATTCATATAAGAAAGCATGATGTGCAATGCTTTGTCTTTTACATATGAGACATACATAAAAACAGACATACAAAGAGAGCACCTTTGAATAAACAGCAATAATAAGAACAATGAGTCATAATTTTTTATCCTGGTAAGCATAGGGCAATAGCACATATTGATATCTTGGGTTGTGGATATTCGTAATATCCCTTTCCTTCTTCTAAAGTTCAATAATAAAAGTCTATTTATTAAAAAAAATCCTAGATGTATTACCTAAACTATTATACTTACACAGGTTATTCATGCCCCATTGCCTTTCAGGTAGTGGGATGACTGGCCCAAATACAGGAAAAAGACTTTTAAATCATAGCAATTTTTGAGGTGACTGTCTGGGTAAGCTTGACTTGCACACTCAAATACCTCAAAGACGAGGGACATGCTCAATATTTGAGTCAATTCTTTTACCACTACTGTACTATTATAATTACTATTCTCTGAATAAAAACTTAGATACAAGCATTTTGCCACTTTGCGTTACTGGCTGTACTTCATCAAAGACTAGTGAAATTACTTGAAAGATTTAACAGTATTATGTCAACATAGGGGAAACTTAAGGAAATATATTTCCACTGCAAATGTTTATTTTTGCTAAATTAGGATTAATTGCAAGATTTTTTTTATTTTTGTTATTAAATCATTTTTGTTATTAAATGATAAGTAGTTCTTATTATTTTGAAGTATATTTCACCAGAAAAGGCAAGTTGGATATATCCAGGATTTTTTTTTAATCCCACCTATTATTTTACTTTTTTTTTTTTTTCAAATTTAGGTGACATCAGTGATGAATAGGAAATTATGTATAAATGCCAAAGGATATTTTTGAACAAATTAGTTGAATATAAAGGTAAATTATTTGCCCTTCACTTTTCAAGTTTATTACTATATCCTATTATAGATATGCATTCAAAACTCGTCAAGTGAACATTATAATAAACTATTGCAGAGGCCCACTCCCTAATCTAGCAGGACTTAAGAACCATCATTAGCTTTTCAGATTTGAACATCTCTGCCCTCCCCAATCCTTCCTTCCTTTTAACAAGCCCTCAGGTGGAAGTTCACTGACAACTAGAGTCTCTTCAGAGAGAAGAAGAACCATAAATAAATGCATTCCTTGTCAATATATTTCATTATAAATTTGAAACACCCCCCTCAGAATATAGAAAGTAACAAACCATATTTCTGTCACTAATTTATAGTCTCAGAAAACACATACATTCAATTTCTCATCAGTCATGTTTCTGTGGCTCAGATTATTGTTAAATTTTAATTATTCAAAATTATAATACATTAAGAATAAAGAACTATGTATTTCAAAAATATGCATTTTTTAGTTACTTACTATCACTCCATAGAATTTAGATTTTGTTTTTCCTGATACTGATAAATTCTTCACCCCTCCCCTCCCCCAGTTTTATCCTTTTGGCTACGTGATTTGAGCAAATGTTTTCACATAAATTCTATCAGGGAATCAATTGCTATATTAGAATTGCCTAGTGATGTATATTTAGCAAGCAAGTTATTGTTGGATGACCAGGAAATTAAGTCATTTTGACTTTTTTGCCAACCACTAATATTAAGAAAAGCAGCAAAGGCATTATCAACATAGATGATACAACTCTTAGCTACTAACTTATTGATATATGACTTTTAGAGTAAAATTTAATGTGAAATAAAATACACTCTACCTTATTTGTAGGTCATGTGCATAGGATTCAGAAACTCAACATTGCAAATTCCTGTGAATAAAAAGAATTAATGAGTAAAATTTATTTTCAAATTGAAATCTGAGCAACAGATTTAATTATGTAACTAAGCAACAGATCATATAATTAAGGAAATTATTTTGTTATTATCAAATATTTCCTATAATGTTTCATGCAGAAGTGAATTTTATACTTTCTCATGCTGTTAAAACTAGAAACACATGTAGGGCTTCCCCAGGAGTGCAGCACATTGAGCACAGTGCTGTGAAGATATCCACAGCCTCTGCAGCTCAGGTTTGATGCCCCGGGAGATATCCACATGGTGTGGCAGACCTCTCCTGTTGTGCCCGCTGCTCCCCTCAGCAGTGTATTTCCATAGGTCTGCCTGTTCTGTTCCCTACTCCATCTCTGGTAAATCCTCTCACCGCGCCCCACACCACACCTCTGACCTGTACCCCAGTCCTTGTATTAAAAAAAAACAAAACAAAACTGGAAACACATGTAATGTGTCTGTGACATCAAAACTTGTCAGTTCTGATTAAATTTTGTGGTGACAAAACTCTAGTGTATTTAGGTTCAGATACTGAGCGATTTGGGAAGTTAATTCCAAAATTTCATAGGAAATGTGGATATAATACATAAAAATATGGTGATTAGAATTAATTAGTGAGGTATTTTAACAAAAATGGAGCAATATCTGTAACTAAATTATATATTAAATATACAGTGATCACACCTGAGTAATAAAAAAAATCACAAGAATGTTACTTCTTTATATAGACATATAATACATTAATTTTAATATTAATTTTAATTTAATTAATTAAATTAATTTTATTAATTTCTTCAGAAATGCAAGTATAGTATATTTCACATTGCAATTTATTGATTTTTAAAGAAATCATAATAAACTTTTAAGAAAAATAACTGATATAGCAATAATTTGTTTAGCATTATATTTCATATCTTGATAAAGTCAGATGTTGGCTTTAAGATAGATACTAAAGTTAAATTTGGGGGCATGATAACTCACTTACATAAGGTGTTATTAAAAATACATTGTCTTTTAACTTGCCGAGATTTTTGGCAACTCTCGCCCAATGTAAATGAGATATTGGCAGTAAACACCTAAATTTAGTTTTTAGAATAAGGCAGGTTCAGATAAATAACAGTATTTTCCTTTTCAAATTATACTCCCAAAGAAAACATGACAGAAACATTTTCTGACTTTAATTTATAAAATATATATTCATAAATGTAACATTTTATATCATATATAATGTAGTATAATTTGCATTATATACCATACTAATATAATGCATATATGGTATTAAGTATATATATATTTATAATATTAGAGATTCTAATTTTAAAACTAATTTTAATGTAATGTATTCAGTTTTGTTTTTAAATACTGTAATGACAAATTACAAAAGGATCCAGATATATCTATTAATATAAAAATTTAATTTAAATGCAAAATTAACTATGGTGGGATAAGCAGAGTCACAGGCACATAGTCACAGGAGAGGAAAGAAATTTGGAGGTCAAAGAGATTGCATTCCACATTTTGAGGGATATAAAATAATGCCCTGAAAGACAATGTCCTATTTAAGGTCACACAGCACATTTATAACAGGACTAAAATTAGAACCCATCAAAAAAGAACTGCTATCAGTTAGGGGGGGAAAAGTATTACATGCAAAGAAATTCAACTGTATGAAGTTACTGTAAATAATTCACTTGCTGAACTTAGAATATGTATTTTTCTAATTCAGATGAATATAAAGTTGATCTAAGTTATGTCCTAATAAGTTAAGATGATACAAAGATCTGATTTTGAAATCTTTCCCCATTAAGACATTTTTAAATATTTAAATTTTAACTTAATATTTTCCAATTTTATCATTCACCACAAGAACATAAAAATAAGTGTTTATCTGGGATTCAGTAGTGATATCTTCTTCAAATACAACTAAGAGTGAGGAAAAACAGATTTATAAGTTTATAAATCTATCACCAGAATTGCTTTACTTTTAGTTCATGATTGAAGAACATTTAATATATATTCATGTTCTAGTAACATTTTATTAAAGAAAACATTCTTGAGGGCCTCCCAGGTGGCGCAGCGGTAGAGCGCTGGGTTGCGAAGCTGCCCGCGGCCTCTGCAGCGCCGGTTCAATCCCCGGCTGCTCCCCGGCCACCGGAGGAGGGTCCCACATGGTGCGCAGACCTCTCCTGCCGCCCGCTGCTCCCCTCAGCAGTGTACTTCGGTCCTTCTGCCTGCTCTGCTCCCCGCTCTGGCTCTGGTGAATTCTCTCACCCTCCCACGCTTCTGACTGTACCCAGTGCATGTATAAACAAAACAAACAAGCAAACAAATAAATAAAGAAAAAAACATGCCTCTAAAAAAAAAAAAAAAAAAAAAAAAGAAAACATTCTTGAAATGTATATTCTGAAAATGAATTTCAGCATCTCTTAAGATATGCTAAGGTTTTCCTACTTATTGTAGGAAATTATTTTTATTTTAATATGTACTTATTGATCACTCTATAGAGTACAAATGGAAACTTTTTAGGCATCTGGAATATATTGGTATATTTTTTTCAAATTTTGTATTCTGGCACTACAGAGAAAATAATACACTATAAACGTAAGACAAGTAAATTATATATAATGCTAAACGTGACAATTTAAAATCAATTCTCGGGCCTCCCCTGGTGGCACAGCGGTTCAGTGCTGGGCTGCGAAGCTGCCCGCAGCCTCTGCAGCTCCGGTTAGATCCCTGGCCACTGGCGAGAGTCCCGCATGGCGCGCAGACATCTCCTGCAGCCCACTGCTCCCATCAGCAGTGTATTTCAGTCAGTCTGCCTGTTCTGCTTCCTGCTTTGACTCTGGTGAATTCTCTCACACTCCCGTGCTTCTGACTGACCCAGTGCTTGTATAAATAAATAAATAAATCCTTAAAAATAAATAAATAAAATCAATTCTTATTAATTTGTCATTCATTTACATGACAATATAATATATATCATACCTTGATATGTATACATGCTTCACTCACTCAAAGCTCCACTGTCACTCCACTATCACATTACCCCATTTAGTCTCTCCTCAACTCCCTCTCTCTTCTCTTTAGTATAAGGGTGGAAATGATCAGGGTAGGGATATGGGATTGGTTGTGAGTAGAATGGCAACAGATTAAGATACTGAATAGTTTGGATTGGGGGAAATTTGAATACAATCTTAAATAACATTTGGTGTAATTTATCTAAAAATCTATAATAAAATTACATAGTATAGTGAAGGCACTATCTAATTTAGTGAAAAAATAAACTAGCTTAAATTTCAAGGAAAGACTTTTGTTTTACTACTTTTGCACAGAAAAGCATCAGAGAACATCGCATTCTGTAGATTGTTAAAGACTGACTTTAAGTGAATGTCATTTTTATTTCAATATAAACATATCACTAACATATATTCCCATTTGTGTTTTAAAAGGGAAAATATGGTAATGGATAACATAATAAGTTTCTTTGGGTATCAAGTTCATGCTGTATAAGAACAGAGCAGGGGCCTTCCCGGTGGTGCAGTGGTTGAGTGCTGGGCTGTGAAGCTGCCTGCAAGCCTCTGCTACGCCAGTTCAATCCCCAGCCACCAGCGAGGGTCCCACATAGCGTGCAGACATCTCCTGCCACGTCCGCTGCTCCCCTCACCAGTGTACTTCGTCAGTCTGCCTGTTCTGCTCCCTGCTCTGGCTCTGGTGAATTCTTTTACCCTCCCGTGCTTCTGACTGTACCCAGTACTTGTATAAATAAATAAATAAACAAATAAATCTTAAAAAAAAAAAAAAAAAAGAACAGAGCAGAAGTTATCTTAGTGTGGTCAATCCCAGTGTAGGCTATTTCCTCTCACATTTTGCTCACAGAATAACCAAGCTAAATTTCTTAAAATTACTTCCCTCTAGCTTTTATTTTATTTTAAGATTTTATTTATTTATTTTTATTATTTATTTATTTATTTGTTTGTTTGTTTATTTATTTATACAAGCACTGAGTACAGTCAGATGTGCGGGAGGGAGAGAGAATTCACCAGAGCCAGAGCTGGGAACAGAACAGGCAGACTTACAAGGTACATGCTGAGTGGAGCAGCAGGTGTGGCAGGAGAGGTCTGTTGCACCATGTGGGTCCCTCGCTGGTGGCTGGGGATCGAACTGGTGCTGTAGAGGCTGCAGGCAGCTTCGCAGCCCAGTGCTCAAGCGCCGCACCACTAGGGGAGGCCCCCCTCTAGCTTTTAATGAGGAAATCAGCATAGTCACCATTTTATATAGCTGCTTTAAAGATAAATTATTAAAAGACTCAGCTTTAGATTTCAGCATTCACTAAGACACCATTTATGTTCTAAGCCTTGTGATTAAAAAATTCAACTAGATATTTTTATTTGTTTTAATTTATTTACATATATTTTATATCATTGTTCATTTTTAAACAAGATTTGCTTTCTTTTTGCAAGTGTAGTCCCCATAGAATTTCCACCATTAGTTCACCTGTGCACCATCCCCACAGTCCCCTGTGCTCCTCCTTGTTGTTATCCTGCTTCCTCCCCCACCCCTGTAGAATGTCTCTGGTTTATAGGTGTCTGTTTGTTTGTTTTGTTTTGTTGTGTTTTTAGTGTTATTTTTTTTTGCCCTGATGCCTTGTTTGGTTCTCCTATACTCCTCCTATAAGTGAAATCATTGAATATTTTTCTTTTTCCTTCTGTCTTATTTCACTGAGCATAATTCCTTCTAGCTCCATTCACATTGCTGCAAATGCATGCATTTATCTTTTTTGATTGCTGAATAGTATTCTATTGCATGTGTATATACCACATCTTCTTGATTCAGTAGTCTATTTTGGGGCATTTGGTTTGTTTCCAGGTTCTACTTATTATCAATAGTGCTGCAGTAAACATATGGGTACAGGTATTCCTTTGGATCACTGTTTTTGTGTCCTTTGGGTAGATCCTTAGGAGTAGAATTGCTGGGTCATATG